AAGGAACCCATCCAGAAATAAATGCGGTCTTCACTGCCACCTCCTAGAAGCCGTACGCGACGCCTTTCTTCCCCAAGGAAGCGCGCAACTCTCCCACCCTGTTCTGACACAGAACTGTATGCGCCACGCACCCCTAGGGACACCCGCCACGCACCCCTAGGGACAGCTTGAACCATGCGTGCCCAACAGCCAGGCCCGGAGGCCATCAGGCCCCCGATCCTCCCCCAGCTCCTTCACCCTCCCGAGGTGGCACCGACATTACCTTGACCTCCCGCGCTCTTTGCTTTGAAGCCCACCAGCACTGCTTCGTGCGGCATCCCGCAACCTGTGAAGTGGGAAATAAGCCTCTGCTTATCCTCTGAACGCTGGAGCATTCGCTACCACGTTCAACAGATTTTACATGTCTGTTGGTATGAAAGTGCTTTGCCTTCCCCCCTTCAAAGAGCTTACAAACTGAAAGCGCATCCTCCTTGGCTTTAACTTGCCTGCTACTTTGTTGGCTTCTACACAGACAACTCGTACCTCAAACCTTCCTTGTGGGTAGTGATGTGCTCAATTGCCAAAAGGAGATGGTTGCTGTTTCAGGCGCCTTCTCTCAAACAGCTTAATCATTTCCCGACTACCGAGCCATGAAGGATCCCTGCTAAACTCACAATTCTTAACAAGATTTAATCTGACCTGTAAAACCAGGCGCCTTATCCCCCACCCAAGCTTCTCTCAGCACCCTGAAGCCATCTAACACACCCTAGAAAACACATCTGACATATCTTTAAAACCCCCCCATATTATTCAGTGTTTGCATATCACTTTTGGCCACGGTGTCCTTTCAGTTTTGCGTTCCCATCTTCCAAATTGAGAAGGGGTTCTTCTCAACATTTTAAATCACTTCTTTTGGCCAGTCTCATATCTAGAATACACCACTTTACAACTAAGTTTTTCAGGATAACTAGTATTTACCTGAACTCTATTTTTGCGCTATTGCCACTTTACTGCACAAAACAATCGCACTTTTTAAAAAATAAACCCGCATTCCCCTCAGATGTATACAAGGGCCACTACTGCTTACATGGGTTTTTTAAGAGCAGGTTTTCTCACTTTCCACTGCAGCAATTTCTTCTTCCACTGCTCTGCTGCACAGCTGCGTTCCAAACCTGCAGCCAGGTCCACTGCCTCCTTAAGCTTTTGATTATCTTAATCTGGTTTTGACTTTGAAGTTCAAATCCAATTTTCTAATGAATCCTGGAAGCCCTTGGGGATACACCAGTTTGTCAGGGTAAGACTTCACACCCACCCTGCCAGTTCGCAAAGAGCTTTTCACTAACATTCAGCTACGCCTTGGCTACCTTGGATCGGGTGCCAGGTCTGAACAAAGTCTTCAGACATTTTTATCAGGTTGATTGAAATCCATTTTGCTGCAGCACAAAAGGGGGGCACATGGGTCAGCACGCAGAGCGCCCCACAAATGAACCATCTCACAGTTGCCTTTCCTGTGCCATCCAAACACACTGCATCTGCTCCAGAGATTCACCTCCACGGACAAGTCACACCAACACTTCCCAAGACGTTGCCAGGTAGAACTTCAGAGCTTTTTGAAATCCTCTTTACTACGTCTCTCCAGCTACATCCAGACTTGGCGTGCTGCTTCTTGGTCATCTTGATGCATCTGTCATTTGCTCTGTTAAAGTTACTTGTTTTTGGAAACCAGACTGTCTTTCTATGTTCCTTTTTGACATTTACCACTCGGTTAAAGTTCAGTCAAAAAGGCTTTTACATTTAGAAGTTTATTCTGGAGTCTGATGCCCTCTGCATATTCTTTATAGGAAAAGGAAGTTGCAGCAACTTGCATTTCCCCTGAACACAATCTGACACTAATAGCTTTTCTTAACTAATCATTATTCCAGGCTTTCTTTAGCTATCATCTGACTCAAAAGAAAAAACCAACCCAACCCACGAGACAAAACTTTGTCAAGGCTGTGTTCCCAGCTGTCACTGTTACACATCCTTGGCTCCTTCCTTGCTCTTTGGTTTTCCTTTCCCCACTTCTATAGCACAAGACACCCACCCACCTATTGCAAACATCCAAACCACTTCATCAAATACCCTGGGCTTTTGAGGGTTGCTTTTATTTTGGGGTGACAACGTGGCTCTACAACACAGCTTAATTAAGCCTTGCAGACAGTTGTTTAGTTCCACAACTTACGAGGACCTGACATACCTACACTTGTTTAGAACTGGAAAGAAGGGAATAGCTGAATCACAGCCACAAGTTTGTAGAAATGCAAATTCTGGATTTGTCTCAATTCACTGAGATGCATCTTTCCCTTAGCAATCAGAAAGAAATAGGACAGGCATAGGATCTTCTGCTGGATTTCTCCCTATTTTCTAAAACCAGGATGTGGTAAATTTACACACAAGTCATCACTCAACAGAAGGGCACACATGAAGGGTTACTGCTTCAAAACTGAGTAAGAAAAGGCAGATAACTTCTTAAAGATTCCCACTACCTCTCATTTTCTCGACATCTGCACATGCAAAAC